ACTTTCCAATGATTGTAAGGTGGCTATTATTGATTTGGAAATGGAGACCATTATTGTGGATGGAAAGAGACAAGCCAATGTTAAAATTGATCGATCCCTAACGGAACAATCTGCAATTGTTACAGTAAGTTTATTTATTTATGCAATACTTAATGTTATGATGAAATTAAAGTATTACGGAGCTAAAGTTATTAAAATGTGTGATAAAACATTATCAAACACAGTCAATATCACAGATTTGATAAGAAATGAAAATTTAGGACATTTATCACTTGGCAATTTTGAGCATTTTGTTTACAATGTTTTGGATGAAAAGGTTTACAGTGGAAAAAAAACTTTAACTGAGACATTTATTTGTAAAATTGAAAGTAATGGTAAAATTGTTGGCAAAATTCAAAGACCCAAGTCAAATTTGATAGAAATTGAATTTCCATCAACTCCAAACTATAGACACAAAGCACTAGTGTTGGCACTTGCCTTATTTTGTTTTGCAACATCAGGTGGTGGTGGTGTCGTCTTCCCAATGATCATTTAATCAGCTCAACAATTAACTGCCCTTAGGAAATTTTGGAAAGCAACAAACACATTGAAAATCATTAAATTAATGAAAATCTGTCATGAAAAATTACAAAATGCTTTCCTTACCTTTAATAGAAATTCAAAAAAATTATGTTTTTTTCCTTTTTGGTGTTGTGTTTCTTGCTGTATCATCAGTATCAGTTTCGTCTCCATCGTCATCTTCTTGATTGTTTAATTCATTTTCCATTTCTGAACTAGTTCTCTTCTTTAATTCTCCAAATTTATTTGCCATCTCTGTAAAATATGCCTTCCTTATCAAATCATTCAAATCACTGCCTTTATCTGCTGAACTTTCATTTTTCTTTTCTTTTTTATCTTTTTTTCCCTTCTTTTCCATTTTTAATTTGTCCATGATGGCAGTTTGCTTATTCTTGATGGTTTCACATTTGAGTTCTGACTCTAATTTACAATATTTAATAAATTCCATCATGTTAGTATCGGAATCAAAAAATTCAGTCATTTTCTTTTTAGAAATTCCCTTGCTTTTAGTTTCGTCCGATTTGTTAAAAATTGTGGAAAGATAGAAAGCGAGTAGAGGTGTATGTTTTTCTTGATTGTATCCCACTCTCTTGGCTGGAGATTCTTGAATTGTTTGTGGTGTTGTCGTGCTGATAGGAAGTGGACTATCTTGAGACGAAACTTGACTATTCTTTCTTCTTGGAGGCATTTTTTTTATGGTGGACAAGAGAAAATGGGCTGGATGTCAAATTGACATTAACACTTCCGTGAATGCAACTTTTTTGCCATCACCAAGTTGAATAAAGGTGCACACGACTCAATTTCTAGAAATGATTGATGCAATTGTTGTTACTTCTTCATACGATTGTAAACATTTTATTAAATTCTCTAATTGAAACCAATAGGATGTTGTGTGTTATTATTGGGAAATGTTAAGGGAACTTTTCTCATTTTGATGGTTGAGCTTTGAGTTAAATTTTCCATGTGTTAATTCCCATGTGTGTTTATATGTTCCACTGATAAACTGAAAAGTATATTTCTCATTTATGGAGAAGGGTTTAGTTTGGAGTTTCTACTCTAAGAAATCAAGAAAGAAAAATGAAGAGTAGCTTAAAGTATTTGGTTGGTATGATAATTGGTGCAGGAGGAATGTACCTTTACACCAACACTAAACAACCTTCAGTGAGTACGAAACTTTATTCGAATCAATCATCAATATTTCTATTCAAATAACAATTAGAATATCATTGGTGGTTATGCACCTCTCCACAGAATTCATAACCACATTTGTGGTGTTCATGGCTATGCTCATGGTTAGTATTTTATTCGAAACTACAATAATCATGATTACACATCAATAGATATGAAAAGAAGTATTACAGCTCATCATTATTGCTCTCATATCCGACCAGATTTTCATCAATGTGTTATTTATGATAGTGATAGTCCTGATGCCAAACTAATCGGAATCGAATACATTATCACTGAGGAAACGTATAATACATTGGATCCAGAAGAGCAAAAACTTTGGCATTCTCACCAATATGAAGTTAAAGGTGGATTGATTACGTGCCCTCATATTCCTCAACTTGTTGAACATCAAATTATGAAACATATAATTAAGGTAAGAGTTTCATTGTAACAATTTATTGTAAACTTTGTAAAGACATATGGTAAAACATTCCACACTTGGCAAGTTGACACTCAACCTGATTTACCTTTGGGAATCCCTCAATTAATGATGGCCTACACAAGAGAGGAGAATATGCCAGAAGCACATGTCAGAAAAATGTTTCTTAATATGGATAGATTGAGAGATGACATTATCAAAGATAGAATCTACATTGAAGGAAGTGAGAAAGGCATTCACCCAAATGCTGACTCCTGGGAGAAGGGAAATACCGAATTATTATTGAAACTTGTTGATTTCAATTCCAACTCCGTTTCAGCAAATAATAATTCAGAAATGAAACCAACAATTCCAAAAGATGTTGTCTTTGATTTGAAAAAGGAATAAAACAATTTATTATCAATGCTTTCTAACAAATACCACATGCTCCATGCAATATTCTTCCTTTCGTTGATTTTCCTTAGTTGTTTGGCTTAAGGGAATAAATTCCGAGCAAATTCCGAAAAAAAAATGGCTTGAAATTGATTCCGAGGTTTGCAAACCAAAAATAATTCGGAAGCAAAACATCAACAATTTGGAAAGTTATTTTCGGGATGTAGTATTTAAATGATGGAACAATCTGCTCATGATGAAATAACAATCAGAAAAAAAAGAATTTAAATTATTCTTAGCTACAATATATTGTACATAATTATAATCGAGAGTAAATAGTAATAACAACAAGATGTCATCTGCTGAAGTATTTGATGGAGCCATTGGTATTGATTTGGGAACAACTTATTCATGTGTTGGTGTCTATATGGGAGATAATGTAGAAATCATTCCGAATGATCAAGGTAATAGAACAACACCTTCCTATGTTGCATTCACTGATGAAGAACGTTTAATTGGTGATGCTGCCAAGAATCAAGTTGCAATGAATCCACACAATACAGTATTTGATGCTAAACGTTTAATTGGTAGAAAGTTTTCCGATTCAACAGTTCAAGATGATATGAAACATTGGCCATTCAAGGTCATTACAAAGAGTGATGAGAAACCATACATTCAAGTTGAATACAAAGGAGAATCACATGTTTTCACACCAGAACAAATCTCATCCATGGTCTTGACTAAAATGAAGGATATTTCAGAACAATATTTGGGTAAACAAGTCAAGAAGGCAGTCATTACAGTTCCTGCCTATTTCAACGACTCACAAAGACAAGCAACCAAGGATGCTGGTGCAATTGCTGGTTTGGAAGTTTTGAGAATTATCAATGAACCAACAGCTGCTGCCATTGCTTATGGTTTAAACAAGAAGGGTGAAAGAAATGTTTTGATTTTCGATTTGGGTGGTGGTACTTTTGATGTTTCAATTTTGAATATTGAGGATGGTGTTTTTGAAGTGAAAGCCACTGCTGGTGATACTCACTTGGGAGGAGAAGATTTTGATAACTTGATGGTTCAATTCTGCTGTCAAGAATTTAAGAGAAAGTACAAGAAGGATATTCAAGAAAATCCAAGAGCATTAAGAAGATTGAGAACTGCCTGTGAAAGAGCCAAGAGAAATTTATCATCAGCTGCCAATGCTTCAATTAATGTTGATTCAATTATGGACGGAATTGATTTGGATATTTCAATGACTCGTGCTAAATTTGAACAATTGAATATGGACTTGTTTAAGAAGTGTTTCGAACCAGTCAAGAAGGTTTTACAAGATTCAGGATTGGATAAGGCACAAATTGATGATGTTGTTCTTGTTGGTGGTTCAACTCGTATTCCAAAAGTTCAAGAAATGCTCAGAGAATTCTTCAATGGAAAAGAATTGTGCAGATCAATTAATCCAGATGAAGCTGTAGCTTATGGTGCTGCAGTTCAAGGCGGTGTTTTAACTGGTAAGGAAACCAAAGTCTTATTAATCGATGTTACTCCACTTTCATTGGGTATAGAAACAGCTGGTGGTGTCATGACCAAATTGATTGAAAGAAATTCAACCATTCCATGTAAGAAATCTGAAATCTTCTCAACCTATGCTGATAATCAAACAGCAGTCACTATTCAAGTCTTTGAAGGAGAAAGAACCTTGACAAAGGATAATCACTTGTTGGGAAGATTTAACTTGGAAGGTATTCCACCAGCACCAAGAGGTGTTCCAAAGATTGAAGTCACATTTGAAATTGATTCTAATGGTATTATGAAAGTTTCTGCCAAGGATACTTCATCTGGTAAGACACAAAACATTACCATCAAGAATGAACAAGGACGTTTGAGTAAGGAAGAAATTGAAGAAATGGTCAAGAAGGCCAAGGAAATGGAACAATTTGATAAGGAATTGAAAGAAAAGATTGATGCCAAGAATCAATTAGAGGCCTACGCCTATCAAATGAAATCCACTGCTGATGATCCAAACTTGTCTGGTAAATTATCAGATGCTGATAAGAATACCATCAAGAAGACATGTGAGGAAGTTATTAATTGGTTAGATAATAATTCTACCTATTCAAAGGATGATATTGAAAAGAGAAGAAAAGAATTGGAAGGTAAATGTGCACCAATTATTAGCAAGTTGTATCAACAAGGAGCTGGTCAACCAGAATTTACACCAAATGGTGCAAACTTTACCTCAGATAATACTTCCAGTAATTCAAGCAACACAACATCAAAGCCAAAGTTTGAAGATGTTGATGTCGATTAAATAAACACTTTTTTTTGAAACCATTATGCAATAATTCACCAATTTGACACTCTACCAAAATGGGTATACTTTTTGTGATT